AAGAGCAAGGACCATGGTCTCCTGAAGAAGATGTAATTCAGCCTTGAATGCAGCACAGAAACCCTGTCTGAGTTTGCAGCCTGTGGATCTCAGACTCGGGACTACAACATCCACTCTATCTGAATTTCTCCCCAGCCTGTCCAACTGCTCCCACAACTTTCAGACTTGTCAACCCCATGATCATGTGAGCCAATTCCTTTAGATAGATAATAGATAGATAGATAATAGATAGAAGGATAGATAAAGATAGATGATGGATAGATGGATGATAGATGACAGACAGACAGACGGATAGATAGATAGAGCCAATGCCAGCACACTGCTCTCTCCTCCGAGTGAAATGTCCTGTAGAATGGAGGGCTGAGACCGGAGGGAAATGAATGTCCCCATCTTACAGCCCCTCCCTTGCCAGCTAGCCAGAGACCCCTTCCAAGGGAGTGGAAAGAGAGGGTGGGCTTCACTGGGAAAGGGTCCATGAGGGAGTAAGGTGACACCCAAGCATGGAGCATGCTGCTGAGGGCAGGCCGGTGGGTCCCTTTGGTGCAGGTGGGGTGGGTAGAGCCCAGGACCCCATCACCAGGCCACCCTGAACTCCTGCCAGAATTCCTGGCATATTCAGCTCCCCAAATCAACCGGAGTGATTCCCCTAAAGCGCACATCCTGCCATTATCACATCCAGAGTCTCCTGGCTTCCTGTGATCTTGAGACAAAGCCCAAAAATCGTTCATGCAGCTCACAGTCTCTGAGTGCCCTGACCACAGCCAGGCCAACTCTCACATAGCAGAGGCTTTAAAGTGCATTATAAAATAGCCCAGACAGTCAGAAGCCCCTTTGACAAAAACTTCAATACCTGTCCCTATGCCTGGAGAAGAACTGTGAGCCCGGAGGACGTGGCTGTGCCAGGCCGTGGTGCACAGAGCACTTTCCTACCATCTTACTCTTTTCCATAATCACAGAAACCAGTCATCTCCGTGTAATACGGTGACTGCTAGTATCTCCTTTTCAGAAAAAGAAACAGAGGCCCAGAGAGGGCCTAGCTAGTGAGGGGCAGAGCCAGACCTGCTCCAGTCTGCCAGGTTTAAAGCCTTGCTCCTCTCCAGCAGATGGATCTGCCGCCATGCAAACAGGACAATGGTAATGCCCGCCTCATTGGGGTGTTGGGAGGACGCCATGGGCTGAGACGAAGGAAGCTGTCAGAACCACTCCTGGCACAGCCTCAGGGCTCAGCAAGTATCACCAACCACTGTGGCATCGCGCTGTCTCCAGGTAACTCCTGCGAGATCTGACCCAAAAATCCGCCCAGTGATCTCTATATGCCAGGTCCTAGGTGATCATATCGTTTTAATTTTTCCACAATGGCCAGGCATTATCTGTGTATTTCTTTCCTTCTAAATTCTTGCATGCAATAAAGGAAATGCAAATTAAAACCACGCTAAGATTCCACCTCACCCCTGTTAGAATAGCCATCATCAGCAACACCACCAACAGGTGTTGGCGAGGATGCGGGGAAAAAGGAACCCTCTTACACTGTTGGTGGGAATGTAGACTAGTACAACCACTCTGGAAAAAAATTTGGAGGCTACTTAAAAAGATAGACATGGATCTACCATTTGATCCAGCAATACCACTCTTGGGGATATACCCAAAAGACTGTGACACAGGTTACTCCAGAGGCACCTGCACATCCATGTTTATTGCAGCACTATTCACAAGCCAAGTTATGGAAACAGCCAAGATGCCCCACCACTGACGAATGGATTAAGAAAATGTGGTATCTATACACAATGGAATTCTATGCAGCCATGAAGAAGAACGAAATGTTATCATTCGCTGGTAAATGGATGGAATTGGAGAACATCATTCTGAGTGAGGTTAGCCTGGCCCAAAAGACCAAAAATCGTATGTTCTCCCTCATATGTGGACATTAGATCAAGGGCAAACACAACAAGGGGATTAGACTATGAGCACATGATAAAAGCGAGAGCACACAAGGGAGGGGTGAGGATAGGTAAGACACCTAAAAAACTAGCTAGCATTTGTTGCCCTTAATGTAGAGAAACTAAAGCAGATACCTTAAATGCAACTGAGGCCAATAGGAAAAGGGGAACAGGTACTAGAGAAAAGGTTAGATCAAAAAGAATTAACCTAGAAGGTAACACCCACGCACAGGAAATCAATGTGAGTCAATGCCCTGTATAGCTATCCTTATCTCAACCCGCAAAAACCCTGTTCCTTCCTATTATTGCTTATACTCTCTCTACAACAAAATTAGAAATAAGGGCAAAATAGTTTCTGCTGGGTATTGAGGGGGGCGGGAGCGGGAGGGGGTGGAGTGGGTGGTAAGGGAGGGGGTGGGGGCAGGGGGGAGAAATGAACCAAGCCTTCTATGCACGTATGAATAATAAAAGAAAAAAAATAATAAAAAAAAAAATAAATAAATTCTTGCATGCATGGTACCCTTGGTGAGCTATCTATCTGTTCAGGGAAGGCCAGTGGACATTTGAGTCAACTCCCAGTCAGGTCCCCACGTAACCCCAGCAAAGGATCATAACAGGGAATAGTGCAGAAGAGCCCCTCCCCAGCCCAGGCACTGGAGCCTAGTGCTTGCCAGGGTCAGGAGTTGGGGGGCTTTACAGGTCCATCAATGCCAGGAACTGGCCCAAGCTAAGCCTGCCCTTTGCTGGCATTCCCCAAAAGGCACCGTGAGATGCCTGAAGGCTTTTCTGGCCCCCAGGGGAGCGGCAGGGAGCAGCCGGGATGCGTGAGACCTCCGGCCCTGAATCCACCAACAGCTGTGGTGACCACTTCAGCTATTTTAAACCCTCAGGCACCAGGAAACTTCTGTCCCATCAACCAGGCGCTAGGCTCAACAGGGTGAGCCAGAGCCAGGGCAGGAGCCCTGAGTGTGGGTGGCCGGATAGGGTCGGATTGTACAAGGGGAGGGGGCTTAACTTCCTGAGCACTTGCCTTGTGCCAGACAGCCAGTGTTTTCTGCATATTGTCATCTCATTTAATATTATTAATAAACCAACTATTTCACAGATGGGACTCTGAATAGCAGGGCGAATGGTCCAAGAGCAAAACTGAGATCAGAACCGCTGCCCTCACTCACCTTGCTCCTGCCTATGAGCTCTTATCCTGCTCTGCCACTCCTGGGAGCTGTGCAAGCCAGGATAATTCTTCACCCTCTCTGTTCTCCCTTCATCTGGAAGGGTACAATGATCTAATTCTTACTCATGAAAAGTGCCGCTTGAAACAGCACACGGACAGCAAGGACAATAAGCACCTGCTGTTATTTCTGCTCTGCTGATAATCACAGCCTTTATCTGATGTCATCACTGCCTGATCCTGTTATGACCTGCTTGGGACTTGGTACATGGGGGGGTGGGGCCAGCAATGACCTCACCCCACTCTGGGGTCCAGTTTCCCAATGCGTGAAATGAGGGAACCCTGACACATGTGCAGTGTCTGCCACCACACACAGTAAGGGCTCAAAAGGAGCTCCCTGCAGAGGGGTCAGCTCAGAGCCCACTTTTGCAGATGGCCAGCCACAAGCTGCCTTCTGATTGAAGGAAGCCACAGCAGGACCACCAGAAGCCAATCAGAAGTTAGTGGCCTCTCCCTGGGTCTGTGCACTCTGGCCTTTGGGGGACAAATGACCCCCTGGTGGGGACCTGGGCCTTCCCCCTTCCACACCCACATTCCTCCCAGATCTCTGCCACTCAGGAGCATCCTGAGTTTCTTTACTGCTCCTAATTTGGGCCTACTTGAGGGAGGAGATTAGAGTCAAGGGGCTGGTGAGTGACTCTGAGCCTCAACCCTCTTGTACAGGCTCCCTCCTTCCTGGGCCTCCCATCTCCCCTGTCCCTATCTCCATCCCTAACATGCATCCCTTCCAGCCCCTTCCCTCACAGCCTGTGCCCACTCACCCTCCTGATCCTTCCTCCTTCGTCCTCTAGGAAAGGCCACTTACTACACGTGGCTGAATTATCTGCACACACCAGTCAGGGTCAGAGAAAAAAAAGGTTGACATGGGGATAGAGACTGGTTCACACACCCACAAATGTCACCCTGCACCTTGGTCTTCACAGGACATGAACTGACCTCTACAATAGGACTCCCTTCACTCAGTGGCCCACACCAGAGCCGGGGCCCTAATCCTTGTCCACTCCCGGCCTAGTCACCAGGTGCCATCCAAATCTCTGTCCATAAACACCTTTCTGATCAATCCCCTCCTCTATAGCCCTCTCACGCTCGCCCAGCCAGGGTCTTCCTTGCCTGCCCCGGCTCAGCCAGGGGTACCGGAGACAGACAGAATGACTCATTTCACTCCCGGGGAAGAAGCCGTTCCAGGTTTCAGTCGCCCACCCACCCCGTGGCTTAGCATTCTGGCCCGTCAGCTGCCGGGTCTCCCACTCCTCCTTTTCCCTATGGTAATGTCAATCTGATGGGGTGCTGTGGGGCTGTACCCAGCTTCCTGGCTTTTGCTCTGGTAGGTTCCCCTCCTCTCCTTGAGTTTGCAAAGGCTTCCTTTAAGAAGACTCAGACTCCCCTCCTCGGAGGAGTCTTGGCAGGGGGTGCGGGAGGAGACTGGGTTGGGGCACCCCTCTGTGCTCCCACCAACTCCTGTACTGTCCCCTTGGCAGTTCCACGTTTGCATTTTCTGCCCTACTAGGCTGGGGGGGGGCGGGGTCCGGAGGGGAGACAGGGTTTGTTGAATGGAAGAAGAAGCAAACCAAACAGAACAGACAAAACTACTTGCAACTCACCCTGACCACGGGGGTGGGCGTGGCGACCTGGCGAGGGCGGAGCCACGCTTGACGGACGGGCCAGCGGCCCACAGCGAGAGGAGTGCGGCGGGCGGTCCCGCCCATGCCCCGCCCTCCGGCCGCAGAATAAGGCCGCTCGCTGCACAGCGGAGGGCGCAGGCGGCTGCAGCGGGCTCACCTGCGACAGGTGCTCCAGGCCACCCAGGACAAGCGCACCGACCAGGCCAGCACTGCAGGCGGGGAAGATGCTGCGCGAGCGGACCGTGCGGCTGCAGTACGGGAGCCGCGTCGAGGCGGTGTACGTGCTGGGCACGCAACTCTGGACCGATGTCTTCAGGTGAGTCGGCACCGCGCGGGCCCCAGAACCCGCTTCGACTGCGGGTTCGGCCAGAAACCTCAGACCTTCCCCAGACTCCCGGACGCGGACAGCCTGACTCCTGCCCCAGGTGCCCCTCAACTGGGGGGTGGGGGGGCTCAGAAACCGGATACCCAGGGGATCCCAGAAACCTGACAACCCCCAAACCCTGTGTCAGCCTCTATGGAATCTTTAGCCTTCCACCCCCACCCTCCCCGACACTATGAAGCAGGGTCAGCCCCACCTGCATTTACTATCCCCATCCAAAGCCCCTCTCCTTCACCCCAGTCTTTCCACGGACTGAACTTCTCAAGTCCCTCTTCCGTGGCACCTCGGCTTCTCTACCATTCACTCCTTCACTTTCCCTCAGGCCCTCTTGGCCCACCCCAGCCCAGCCTGCACTCTGGTTTCCCACACCCAACTCAACAGAATCTCTGGGAGATTTTCTGGGGAAAGAGCAGGACCAGAGGGGATCTGTCCCAGGGTGGAATCTGGCCCTGGGGGTTGCTGGGGCTCAAATTTCACCCTCCGGGGGCTGCTGGTAGTTGCCTGTCCACAGGCACTGGCTGTGAGCTCCATGTCCCCAAGTGCCTTCCCTAACTTCACCTTGGGATCAGAGAAGGACCAAGTTCCACCTGCTGAGATCCTGGGACTCTGGGTGCAGAGGTGGGGCCTTTGAGAGAACCCCATATTCGGGATCCTATCCCCTCCTCTCCTCTCTGTTCACAAGTTTGGGGAGTACAGGACTTTAGAGACAGCAGCACTGTAGGGTAGGGCCCTACCACCACCCCCCAGCCCCAGTGACACTGCCAAGTGCTATGGTCCATCTCCCCTAGTGTGTGGGATGGGGCTTGGGGAAGGTGTGACTGGAGTGAGTAAAGGGGTAGGGCGAGTACCCTGTGGGATCGTGCTGGAGTTGGATAGGCTGCTTCTATTCGAAGCATTTGAAGTGTCCCCCCCTCAATGGGGGGAAGAACTTAGTGCTAGGAGGAGCAGCAGGAAGTACTGAGGTGGGCCCTACGTTGGTGCTCTGGGTGGGTCCCCTAGCTCTCTGGGCCTTATTGCTCCCAAATCACCCTGACATCTGGAGCACCCTGCCTCGCCCAGCTCCCCTCTAAAGCCCACTCCTGTGTCTCCCCCACACCCTGCCAGCCCTCTCTCTCCTTCAGTTCCTGTGGCCTTGCCCAGCTATCCAGCCACGTGCCTCCACAGCAGGCACTGGCCATGCTGACACCACTGAGCCCCAGAACCAAGGCCTCTGTCTGCTCCTCTTCCCCTGGCCTCAGTCCCAGTCTCTGCCTTGCCTGGGCTTGGGCCTCAGTGGTCCCACCTGTAAACCTCGGAGGCAAACTGGGTGGTCTCTGAGGGTCATAAAACAGCAGTGGAGGGTGATCCAGGTGCCAGTGACCTGGCAGAATGCCCCTTCCTTTTCTGCCCCCAGTACTGGGTACTGCCAGAGAGTGGGCTGAGAGCCAGGTCACTCAGGTCTCTAAGCTACAGCTGTCACCATACCCACCTGTTTGCCCAGGCACTTTGGGTGCTGTCCGAGAGACTGGCATGGTGCCCACAGTGGGATTGGGGAGCAAAAGAAGGACTGTACTGAAGCCCCTGCCCTTGTCTGGTGCTGGCAGAGAGAGGCCCAGCCCAGTGGGACAGGAGTTTGGGCAGGTGCCAACTCACCCTCCCTTTAGCAGGGGCAGAGGTGTGACAGTTCTCTTTGTCCTTCCTCAAGACACCAGCCATAGCCACCTGCACTTGAGGGTTGCCCACCACCCAGAGAGTCAGTACCATCCACACCAGCATTGTCCAAACGAACTCAAGCTGGGCCACAGTTGTCATTTTATTTATTTAGTTACTTATTCGTTCATTCATTTATTGGCAATACTGGAGTTTGAACCCCAGTTTCATGCTTGCAAGGCAGGTGCTCTACTGCTTGAGCCATGCCTCCAGCCCTATTTGCTCTGGTTATTCTGGAGACAGGATCTCACTTTTTGCCCAGGCCAGCCTGGACTGTGAGCCTCCTATTTTAGGCTTCCTGCTGTTACTAGGATGACATGCTTGTACTACCACGCCTAGCTTTTTTCTGTTGAGATGGGGTCTTGCAAACTTTTTTGCCCAGGCTGACCTCGAACCATAATCCTCCTGGTCTCAGCCTCCCACATAGCTTGTGATGACAGGTGCATTCACTACACTCAGCTATTGGTTATAGAATCTCACAAACTCATCCGCTTCCCCACTCCCTCCCCTCAGGATAGCCTCAAACTGCAATCCTCTAAATCTCAGCGTCCAGAGTAGCTAGGAGTATAGGCATGAGCCATTGGCGCCCAGTTCACAGTTGTCATTTCAAATGTTCTAATAGTTCACATTTTTAAAAAAGAGAACCGAGTGTGGTGGCCTAACACTCAGTCACATTCCAGCAAGCTATGAGTAGATACACAGAAAGAAGGAAGTAGAACTTTTTTGGACTTTTTTTTCTAGAGAATGTACTTTGTGATTGTTGTTAAAAATACTTGTTGCTTCCTTCTGCTAGTCTCAAATCACTTATCTTTTAGGTATGCCTTGCCCACACATCCTCCTCTGTGTTCTGCTACTTCACTGGGGCTGATTCAGGCTTGATGTGGAGTGTCCTGGGTGGATTTTACCCCTGCCACCTACGTCTTGTGGGCACTAAAAGCATAGACACCCCTGGAACGCAAAATGGCACAGCTGGTCAATGGTGAGGGAGCACCTCCCTGCCAGGTGCCTTCCTGGGACTTGCATTTTAGGCTTGAGTTCCTCCTTGCTCCCTCTCCTCCCTCAGCCATGAAGGGCAGTGAGTTGAGTGATGAATGAATGGATGTAGCATTGATAACATGCAGACCTGCCGAGCTCCCCCCGCTCCAACCTCAAGGACCTGTGGAAGGTCGAGGACATACAGCCAAGCTTGGCAGAGCAGTGCTTGACCTGAGAGAATGACGGAGGGAGGAATTCAGGCCAGGTCCCGTGGCCCCATAAATTACAACAACACCCAGCGCTCTCAGCCCTAAACAGAAGGCCGTGCCAAGGAGCGCTCCAGGGCTCCGGTTTCAGGCTGGTGTCCTGGGTAGGAGAGCCCTAGGAGGGACCTGAAACCCTGTATGCCAAGTCCACAGTTCCCTGCATAGTTGGGGTCCCTAAGAACTTGCTGACCAGGGCTCTGAGTCAGAATGGAAACAGTGACAGGGGCTCACCCCCCAGGCTGACCTGGCATGCCTGTGAAATTGTGGGGGAGAAGCCAGGCATGGTGGTTCATGCTTGTAACCCCAGCACTTGGGAAGCTGAGGCAGGAGAGTCAGAAGTTCAAAGCCAGCCTGAGGTATATATCAAGATTCTGTCTCAAAACAACGAAAAGAAAAAAAAAGCATGGTCAGGAAGACTGGTGTTTGGAGGAAGCCCTCTGCTCAGCCACACCAAACCCTATACCCAGGGGCTTAAACAGGCTCACACTGTTATCCCAGTTACTCATCTGAGAACCCAGGATGGGAAGCCAATCTTGGGTGTTGCCTCTCTGGGCCTGTGATCCCCACCTGCAAAATAAATGGGGGGCTCTGGAAGCTCCTAAAAACCCCTACTTGGTCCTCTCCTGAGCCTGCTTGAACCTTGCCTCTGCTCTCCACCTGGGCCCTGACCAGAGAACTATGAGGAAGACTTATACCTGGCTTCTCCCAGGGAGGGAGCTTAGACCCTCGGCTCTGCCATGATGGGCTCTGGGGTTTATTTGGAGCAAGTGCTCCCCTCTGTGGGCCTCAGAGTGCTCATCTATAAATTAGGATGGAAAGGATGGATGGAGAGTGTGTTGGCCAAGGGTCTGACATATACTAAACACTCAGTGAGTGGCTGCTGTGAATTAATATTGGGGTTTTGTGTGTGTGTGTGTGTGTGTGTCCTTTATTGTGATGGGTGGGCGAAAAGTTCTGATTTTTTTTTTGTGGGACTGGGATTTGAACTCATGGCTTTGTGTTGTAAAGCAGTTGCTTGCAAAGCAGACACTCTACCACTTGAGCCACACCTCCAGTCCAGTATTGGATTTATTGTATCATTGAATCCAGTCGTGGTAACACATGGTTCCTGCCAGCAGCACGTTCTTAACTCTCACAGAAGAGAAATGTTAAAAACTTGCTAGTGTCAGGTACCCGAAAAGGGAGGGAGAGCTGTGTTCTGGCTGTTGGGAGTGGGGAAGGCTTCCTGGAAGAGGTGGCAACTGAGCTAGGTCTAGAAAGATAAACAAGGCGCCCAAGACATGCCCCATGGGAGCAAATATACGTGGTAGGAAAGTGGGGTACATGGGAGGGATGGTATTCGGTGTCCTTGAGTGTAAGGCTAGGGGGTCAGTGAGCTGGAACTCAGACTTTGAAGGAATTGTTAAGGTGCTGGACTTTGTTCTGGAGGTAGTAGGGAGTCATTGAAGGTTTCTGAGGGAGGGAGTGGTCATACATTAGATTGTCTCATCCCTAAACAGAGGTATGCCGCCTAGCGAGAGCAGCTGCTGGGGCAATCAGGTGGAGGAGGAGGCTGGGCTAAGTCAGAAATCATCGTTTGCTTCCAGTAATCCTGCCCAGGACAAGTGCCCACCCTAAGGATGCTGGCCGTCACCATACCAAGCACCAGATGTAATGTATGAGGCCTGGACTGAGCTCGTCCTACCGGGCCTCGCCTCCCTCCCTTTCTCTCTGTCCATAGGCAGGCACGCATGATTCCCCCAACGACTGGAGGACAGGATGTCACACCCAGGCTGCCAGGAGCTGGGGTCACTCTGGGGAGGAGCCCCGGCTGGTGTTAACGAGGCCCAGGCCAGATGGACAAGCCGAGACAGCCAGGTGTCAGCCAGGGGCAGGCACTTCATACCCAGGAGGCTGGGGCTGGGTGAGCCTCCCAACCCCTGCTAAGCCAGTGACCTTCCTCAGTGACTGAGCGAAGACCAGAAAGGCTGGGCAGATCCCCGAAGCACATAGCATTGGAGGGGCTGCACAGATGTCCCAAGTGACACCAGCTACCTGTCCATTTCTCTCCATTTCCATGGCCGCCATCTTGTCCCAAACCACTGTTACAGCTCACCTGAGCAGCTACTGTCACTGCTCACTTGTCCCTTCCACTTCTGCTGTTTTTCTTCTGAAACCCATTCCCACCCTTTGCTCTGGGTGAGCTTCTGCAGTGCTGGGTGACCAGGCCTCCCTGCTAAGGAGCCTTGGGTGACTTCCCTCCACCCTCAGGAGAAGGGCAGGCTCCCCATGATCCAGGACCTCCCCCCTCCCTACAGCCTCCCCTGACTCACCCCCTTCGACTGCCTTGGGATGCACATGCCTTGGACTACCACTGCCCTTGTCCTCCCCTCCCCTGGCCTTTTGTCCAGTTCACTGGTTCCCAAACTGTGGCCTGGACCCATAGCTTCAGCATCCCAGAGCTCAAACTCAAGGTCCACTGGTTTAATTCATTCCTTAGAGTAGTAAAGTTTTGACTTGGGAGCAAATGCCACTTCCTCAGGGATTTTCTCGATGAACCCCAAACCCAGGCCTCATGGCATGCTACACTTTTATTTTAAGTGCTGGGGATCAAACCCAGGGCCTTACACACGCTAGGCAAGCACTCACCCCCGAACTACCCGCTATGCTCTATAGCAGTGATCATACCTATGATCACCCAGTGAATTGTGTAGCCCACTGAAAGTCTGTCTCTTCCACTAGAATATAAGCTCCATTGGCCTAGGGACACGTTTTCTTTCCCACCAGTCTACCCCCAGCCGTAGACCTATGCCTGGCATGTGAAAAATACTCAGTAAAAATGTGTTGAGTGACTGAGTGACCACATGGGTAAGCCCTCCTCTTCCAGCCTGTCCTCCAGCAAACATTTACACTTACTGTGTGGCTGTACAACTCCCTACTTTCAAGAAGTCACAAGGGGATGTAACATGGGTGCAAAGCTACTGAGTTGGGTCTTCAGGGAGGGATGGGCATCTGCCAGGCAGAGAATTCAAGGAAGAGCATTTCAGGTCGAAGGAATAACATGTGCAAAACTGCACAGTGAGTGGGCACTAGGGAGCCATGGAATATTCCAGAGCAAGCAAGTGAGCCGATTTCTGTTTTTAAAACATCACTCTGGCTGTACAGTTTGGAAAGCCAAGAAGGGAAGGTTCATTCATTTATTTATTGCCAAAGCATACATACAGCATAGCTATGTCCTGGACACTGAGACACGATGCACACAGGATTCCAGGGACTGGCAGCTTTTCCTTCTGTCCATGCTGTCTTTAGCCTCTTTCCAATAAGCAGGGAGGTCATAACCACCCTCAGCCCTGCTCCTCAATACTGTCCTGGGCCCCTCCCTGCAGCCCCCAGGGACCCCAAGCTGCCCACGGTCCCCAGTTCTCGGGTTTCTGCAGGGGATTCTAAGAGGATCTTCCTGGGAAGGAAGGCAGCCAACAGGATCTGCAGAGGGACAATAGGTGCCTTTGTTACTTCTGCCAGGGCTGCTCCAAGAATAGCTGTTTGCTCAGCTCTGAGCAGAGCTGATGCTGGGCTGTAGGTGGGCAGGGGGCCCTGGAGCTCTGATGTGAGCTAGGCGTTAACCCTCTGGACCCTCTGGGGCCTCCTCTGGTTTCTCAGTGGCCCAGAGGAATGAAGTCAGGCAGGAAGCATCATTACAGTGACTAAGTCAAGGTCCTAAGAGATCACCTCTTGGGAGTCTTTATAAAGCATCTTTTCCAAGTAGACTGTGCACAGAAGCTGGGTAGATGGAACCAGGCGAAGTAGCAGTGGCTCTGGCAGTGCAGGAGTCCAGCAGGTCACTGCTCTCCAAGCTCCCTCCCTGTCCTTTGCCTAGAGCCTGCCCCTCTGGCCTGGTCCTACCTTCCCACTTAACACTCAGTGAATCAGAGAGGGAGAGCCAACTGCCCAAGGCCACCCAGAAGTTGATGGGCAAAGCAAGAAGTTGCACTAGATGACCAAAGTCCATGATTTGCAGACTGTTACCATGTTTGCCAAAACCATATTCCACCCGTAACACTGTTCACACTTCTTTAAACTGACTCACAGTTTTCTAATAACTTTATTTACAATGGATGTTTTATAGCCTAACCATAAAGGGCTTTATCAGTTGCTATAAAAAGAGACTGAATTTGGCCAGACACTTGGCTCATGCCTGTAATCCTAGCTACTTTGGAGGCAGAGAAGGGGAGAATTGTGGTTCCAGGCAAGCCTGGGAAAAATGATAGTGAGACCACATCTTAACCAATAAGCTGGGCATGGTGGTGCCCACCTGTCACCTCAGCTATAAGGGAGGCGTAAATAAGAGGATCGCAGTCCAAGCCAGCCCCAGGGGGACACACAGATCCTATTCAAAAAACAAGTAAAGCAAAAAGAACTGGAACTGTGTGTGGCTCAAGTGATTTGAACTCAGGAATTCAATCCTTAGTACCTCAGGGGGAATATAAAAGAGAGAGAGAGTGTGTGGTTTAATAAACCTAAGTTTTCTCTTACACCTGCGCCTCAAGTGTAGCCTGCTCAGTCCACCCTCTTGACTGGCTGTGTGTGATGTACCCAGCCTGCACTAGGCTCTGAAGGACAAGGATGGAGGTGGGACCCTGCCCTCGGGAGACCCACAATCCACAGGAGGATTGCCACCAAGTGGCAATACCGCAAATTAAAATGAGGCCCCTGCCCTGAAAGGAATAAGATAGGGGGTGTGGGCAGGAGTGGGTGTCACCCTGTGTCTTATGCACTGGCAAGGGGACCTCAGAAGGCACAAGGGACATACTTAACCACCCCCATCCCCACACATGCACCATCAAGTCTGTGATCTCCCACACATACATCCCCCATCCATGGCTTTTGCCTAGACCCTGTGCCTCAACTAATGACGGATATGGATGGTGGGCAGCTAGTCACAGCCAACAAATGACCAGCCTCCTATCAGTCTAGTGTCCGCTGATAGCTAAGGACTTGGGAAAGGGGCAGAGGGACAAGAAAGAGAAGGGCTGGGAGCTCCTTTTTCCAGCTCTGCTGCCAACATCAGGCATGGGCTGCCTCCCCCTGTCCGCTGTCTCCTCCAGTGCCAGACTGGAGTCCTTGCCAGAAGCCCCTATGGCAGTTCTTTCTTTTCCTTTGCTTGCTTGCTTGCATGGAAATTTAACCAGCAGCCCTGGGGATTCTGATACCTGACCACAGCTAAGAGGTGCAGAGCTCACAGTCTCAGGCTGGCAGGGCAGCAGCTGTGTCTTTGAGACACTCTTGTACCTAAGTCTTTCTAAGTCGCAGATCCGTGAGAATCCTTCCTTGATCTCCCTGAGCCCTCTGTGGACTTTAGGAACTTTCAGAGTGGACTGGACTTAGCAGAACTGTCAGTACCTTCCTCCCCCGGCCTCCCTGTTACCTGCCCTTAAACCAGTGACTTGTTTAGCTCCGGCTGCTATAACCAAACCATAGACTGGCAGCTTTAAAAACACATCCACGTCCTCCGTCTGGAGACTGGAAGGTGTGACCCGGCTGCCTGCCTTGTCATGTGCTAGCAAGGGCCTTCTCTGTTCTCAGGGGGCCACCTTGACACCATGGCCTTTCCTCTGTGTGTCCCTGGGAAGAGGATATCTCTCTCGCTCTCTCCCTCTTCTCTCTCCTCTCTCCTCTCTCCCTCTCTCCTGTCTCCACTGTCTCCCATCTCCCCTCTCTCCCCCTCTCCCCTTCTCTCTCTCCCTCTTTACCCTTCTTTCTTCTTCTTCTCTTCCTCCTCCTTCTTCTTTGGCCACCAATCCTATTGGATTAGAACCCCACCCAATGGCCTCATGTAAGCTTACTTCCTCCTGAAAGCCATGTCTCTGAGTGCCACCACAGTGGGGTTGGGAGGACACGAACTTCAGTCCAGGCAGCGAGATAGAAGCAGTTAGTTCTCCTGCCCTAAAGTCTCGGTAGCTTTTCAGAATTCCCTTTCAATGGAAAGGCATCCCTGCGCCCCACAGAATGACTCTCAGCAGTGGAAAATTCCAGGCCAAAGGACCTCGGAGTCAGAGTCACCCTACCCTGCCTTCTTAGGACACGGTTTCTGGACTCCATCCCTGTGACAACACAGTGCCTGCTCAGTGACACTGCATGGGGAGACAAGGTTGTAGGCCCAGCTCTGTCTTTGGAGCAAATTCATCCCTCCATATGGACCTCAGTCATCCACCCTGCCCGTGTGCTCCCAAAGCTGGTCACATCACCAGAGACACAAAGCTTTAAGAATTCAGCTCCTGCCCAGGCATGGTGGCTTATGCCTGCAATCCCAATGATTTGAGAGGCAGCAGTCAAAAGGATCCAAGTTTAATTGGGAGCCAGTGGCTCATGCCTGTAATCCTAGCTATTCAGGAGGTAGAGATCAGGAGGGTCATGGTTTGAAGGCAGCCCAGGCAAACAGTTTGAGAGACCCTATCTTGAAAAATACCCAACACAAAACAGCCGGTAGAATGGCTCAAGTGATAGAATGCCTGCCTAGCAAGTGTGAGGCCCTGAGTTCAAACACCAGTACTGCCACAAAAAAAAAAAAAATAAGCAAAAAGGGATAGGGGTTTGGCTCAAATGATACAGCACCTGCCTAGCAAATGCAAGGTCCTGAGTTCAAATCCCAGTATTGTCAAAAAATTCAGGCCCTAAACCAGGCACCGTGGTATATACTTATAATCCCAGCCCTCAGAAGGTTAAGGTAGGAGGATCTTGAGTTGGAGGCCAGCCAGGCTACATAGTGAGACCCTGTTTTAAAAAGTGCCCTATTCACTATTAGGTGGTCACAATATAGCTGGGCCTTTTGGGATAGTCCAGAGCAGATGGCCTGGGAGGGCCTTGCAGCCTCACGCCTCCAGGAATCCCCTCCTGAGGCCCCTCATCCCTATCCCAAGCTCCTCCCTGACCCTCTGTCCTCTCTCCTTACAGCGCAGCCCCAGCTGGGGCCCAAACCTTCAGCCTGAAGCACTCGGAGGGAGTGCAAGTAGAGGTGGTACGCGATGGGGAGACAGAGGAGGTGGCCACCAATGGCAAACAGCGTTGGTCCCTCTCGCCCAGCACTACACTGAGGCTCACCATGGGCAAAGCCAGCACTGAGGCCAGCAGTGACAAGGTGCCATGGCAAGGGGACCCAGTGCCATTCTGGAGTCATGGGGTGGGGGGAGAGTGAGAGTGTTACACCAGCCTGTCCAAAAGACACAGCACAAGCCACATGTGTCCTTTCTAGTTGACTAGAAGCCACATTTAAAAAGCAAAAAAGAACCTGGGGCCCGTGGCTGACAACTGTAATCTGAGCTACTCAGGAGATCACACTTCGAAGCCAGCCCCAGACAAATAGTTCAAGCGATCCTATCTCAAAAACACCAAAATAAAAAAGGGTTAGTGGAATGGTTCAAGTGGTAGGGTGCCTATTTAGCAAGCATGAAACCCTGAGTTCAAACCTCAGTACTGCAAAAAAAAAAAAAAAAAAGAACCAGGAGTTGTGGTGCATGTCTACAATCCCAGCTCCCCGGAAGGCACAAGTAAGAGGACTGGAGTCTGAGACTGGTCCTGGACAAAAACAAGACCCCCACCTGAAAAAAATAACTAAAGCGAAAAAGAGCTGGGCATGGCACAAGTGAGAGCACCTGCCTAGCAAGTGCAAAGCCCTGAGTTCAAATCCCAGTGCTGAAAAACAAATAAAGAAAAAAGAGGTAAAATTAATTTTCATAATATATTTTGCTTAATCCCAAATATCAAAACATTCTCATTTTGACATGCCATCATTATAAGAAATTAACAAGGTAGGTTTTTTGTTTTTTGGGGTTTGGGGTTTTTTTGCATACCCAGTTGGAGTTACAGTACAGCGTGTCTCAGCGCAGGCTAGCCACCTTTCAAGGGCTCAGAGGCCACAGTACAATGACTCCTGCATTGGACTGTGGAATTATGGGTAAGTGTGGCCTGCTGAGTGATGGAGAGGTCAGGTGCTCAGAACTACAGAATGGTTGGCAGTTACAGCCACAGCACCCCAGGTCTCACTGTCTGTAAAGTGGGGTGCTGAGCACACACAGGGTGAAGCAACTCGCCCAGGTGGGGAAGCCACAGCTACAGTCCCCTCACTGGGCTCTCTCACTATGAACTCAGTGCCCCATCTCGGTGACAGCACTGAGCATCATCCAAGGAAACAGTCTCAGCACTGTCCCCTGAGGCTCAGCAGGAGCAGAGTGCACCCACGCTATGCCGGGCACCCTGACCACGCTCTGCTTGATTATCTGGGAGAAGCAGCCCAACAGCCCAGGAGCGATTCCTGGAAGACAGGGGCGCTGGACAGGCTGTGAACTGGGGGCGTGGTTACTCCAGGTTTTCCTGCTATGACCAGTGATCTCTGCCCTTCTCTCTGTCCCAATGTGCCCCCACCAAGGTCACCGTCAACTACTATGACAAGGAGGGGAGCGCCCCCATCGACCAGGCTGGGCTCTTCCTCACAGCCATCGGTGAGTTGGCCTGTGTGCCTTTGCCCCAGGTGGGGCACTGGGTAGCTCCCAGCGCTGCAGACCTGGCACCTAGAGCTGCTTCTGAACAACGCAGGCCTGTGAAGGGGTAAAGTGGGTGCACACTGTGTCTGGTCCTTCCATTCTGGGTGTGAGGGGGGTTGCCTGCAAAAGGAGATGTGCCCTAGTCTGTCAGGGACTCATCCAATGCCAGGGTACCCTTCACAGATTCTCTGGGCCACAGAGAAGTAAGAGGAAAGACTGACCCTCCCCCATCTCTCCCCTCCAGCCTGGAGAAGAAACGAGGTTCCTTCCCCCTGTCCGTGATACCCCCTTTCCCTCCCCAGGCCCTCGTTCCTTCCCCCTGTCCGTGATACCCCCTTTCCCTCCCCAGGCCCAACTCTGGGTCCTTAATTCACCTATTCCAAGCTCTGTATTTGCTCCATAAGAATGGTGAGGCTCAGAGAAGCTAGGAAAGTCACACAGCAACCCCATGGCATGTTGAGTCCAGAACTCAAGATAACCCCTTCCAGGTGCTTACTATTGCCCCAAAAATCTCTGCCCTGGGTCTCAGACCCACAGTACGAGCTGAACAGCACCAGGGTTCTGATCTTCTGACCCTTCAGTCACTGGGCTGTGCTGAAGATGAGACCTTACTTTATTTTACTGTCCAATCCTAGTGTATTTGAGCCAAAAGGTCATTGCAGAGGGTCACTTTGTCTGTCCAGCCTTGGCTTAATGTTGACAGAGTCACCACACAGCAGGGGAAGGGACACTGAGCACCAACTCTGTGTGAGTGCTTTCTAAAAACAGTAACTCTGTCTCCTATTTATTGCACAACTACACTGTGCCTAGGATTGGGCTGGGTGCTTTGAGGAAGAGGAGGGAAAGGAAGCTGATTAACCCCAGGCATTTACTGAGCATGACAGTGTGCCAGGCTCCAATACTAAACATCTTCCTGGATCCTCTTCCTGGGATCAGCACTGTTGTTATCCCCATTTTACAGATGAGAAAACCAAGGTTCAGAAAAGATAAAACAAATGAAAAACTGCCTGAGGACACGCACCTAGAAAGTGGTGTCATCCGGGGTATCTCACATTCTCTGCGGGTCTTGAGTCTCCCCAGAAAACAGGTGGCTCCTGCATCAGCCCTCTTTCTCCAGCCTCCTCTGCTGAAATACACACACCGCAGCACCCCTCCCACCTCTCAGCTAAGGCCCCAAGGGGGCTGGCTGCTCCTCAGCCTGTCCCTCTTTCTGGACCAAGGGGTCCCCAGCCCAGATGGGGATCTTGGGATGACCTCAGGAAGCCTTGAGAGATGGCAAGCAAACTCCCCCGCTGTGCTCAATCCTGGCACGTGAGTGAACCAAGTATGCTCACATAGCTCCCTCCACCCCATCTCAGATGACTGTCCCCAGGGACACCTAACCCCACAGAGACAGGGACACCTAAGGACGAAGGCAGGAAGGGTAGGGGCCAGAGGCCTGTCCACTGAAGGTAATCCCGGGGCTGACTGCACCCTTAATACATCCACCAAAACAAGACAGATAGGCTGGATGGCAAAATGAAGTTCTGAGAGGAGGCAGGCCGAGCTCGTCCCTCCCCCAGGACCACACAGAGGAGCAGGGGGCTCAGCCCTTAAGATGCCTTTCTGCCCAAGGCTCGGGACCCTCTCACCCGTCAAATCTCTGCCTTCTGCTCCACATTAATTTAACCTCCGTAGCTCCAGACATTTAGATTCCATGGGTCAGAAAAAGTCCCCCTCCACCGACTAAAACAAAAACACAGAATGGCAAAAAAAGAGAGAGAGAGAGAGACATCAATAAGATAATTTGCCATCACCCATCGCCATTATTTTAATACCTAGATTGAGAAGAGCATCTTCTCAGAATAAAATAGCCATTAACACTGCAAAAACCAAGCCTCATGAAAACTCACCCCAGTGACCTTCCACCAGCCACCCTGAGTTCTCTGGGGAACCACTAGCCTCTCTGTGTTCTCCACTGCCCAGGTCTTCTCTTCCCTCAGGCATATACCAGATGAGTTTTTGAGTGATCACTCAGGGGCAGCACCTGGGAGGGAAGGAAAGCCCTGATCGCACCTGGAAGGTGGGACTCCCTTTCTCCCTTCACCCCCCCCCACAAAGATATCTGAATCCATCTCACCTGAGTCCTGTTCTGAGCCCACACTGAGTAGAAAGAGCCCTGGCTTCAGGGTGGGAACAGAAATAAACTTCAGCTCAGCCTCCACCAGCCACACTGTGACCTTGGGCAAGTTACCTCATCCCCCAGCCTCGGTTTCCTCATCTGCAAAATAGTTGCACAGTGTTTTCTTGCACAGCGCTTCCAAGGATTGACTGGGATGGCTTGTGCAAAGGGTCTGTGCCAAGGGCTCAAAGCAGGTGTTCCGTTCAAGCTCCCCTGCTCTTGAGAAAGGCACACTTACTGTCCATGTGGGTGAAAAGGAAGAAGTACTGTCCACAGCCTTCCTCCTGTGGTACCAGAACAAATCTGTGAAAGTCCTTGCCCAAATCAGGCCCAGGGCTCAGTCCTAGTCCTCCAGGACTTGCTGTGTGCACTTGAAAAGTTGCCCACCCACTCTAGGCCTCACTTTTTCCCAGCTATGGAATGAGGGGTTTGAGCTCTTAATCCCTGAGGACCATCAGGCGTCCAATCAGGGCCGCTTTGCAAAGCCTTTCCCATTTGAGGGGCTTTGTGGGGGAGGGGGAATTGTCTCCTTTCATCATTGCCATGGTCCTAGCAGAGGGCACAGCACACAGGCTCTGGGCCCTAGGAACTCATTCCTGTCCCTCCCTGGAGCCTCGGATAAGTGCCCTTCTGGCAGTAGAGGAGGGAGAATCCCAAGCTGCTCAGAAAGACAAGGAGGCCAGGCCAGCACCCCAGCACCCCAGAACCCTGCCCCACCACTGTGCATGGGGCTGGCAGCCTGCCAGAATGTAGCCTCAGCCTCAGCATCTCCATGTCAGGGCAGACTGCCTTGAACCCAATCCTAGTGACATTTCCCGTTGATCAACCCACACCCCAGTGCCACCTGACACCTCAGGGCTATTCTGGGGAGCTGAGGTAGGATCCAGAGCCTCTGGGAAATGTCGTCTGGAGCCCAGAGGCCCTGAAACAGGTGTCCTCTCCGTCCTCCCCCTGGGGAAGGCAGAGCTGTCCCTGGAGGGCAGATCTCTGGGCCCATCATGCCAGCTCTGTCCACAGTCCCTGTAAGCATCAGCCCAATGGAATCGGATTGTCAGACACAGGGGAGCTGGCAGGGAGAACTTTTAGGGGTGGCTGGTAGTTGAAGGGGGGCTCTACAGGAGGGTGGAGTGCAGAGGAGGTCATGTCAATTGACTAAGGGACAGCTCACAGGTTCTAAGAAATTGAGAAGGAGGACAGGAGGAGGTAACAAGGTAACAAGGATGTCCAATGGTGAAATGGCCTAATTTCAGTCTGCACATAACATGTAGGGTCACAGCCAGAAGTACATCATTTAGTATTAAGGAGGTAAGAAGGAGGGCCGGACAGGGAACAGCTAATTTTCTTTAGATGCACTTTGAAATCATTTTATTTCGTATTTTTGCTCCTCTATGTGTGTATTACATTGATAAAATTTTTAAAGTTAAGAAATTCAAGGCTGGTTTATACCGCTTCATCACATCACGAATTCCCTTTATTTTTTATTTTTGAGACAATGTCTCACTATGTACCCCATGTTCACCTCAAACTCACCATCCTCCTGCCTCAGCTTCCTGGGATTATAGACATGTACCACCATGCCCAGCTGAATTTCTTTCTTTTTTTTTTTGTATATATGGGAGGGACTTGGTCTTTGAACTCAGAGCTTCACGCTAGCAAAGCAGACACTCTCCTGCTTGAGCCAAACCTCCAGTCCATTTTTGCTCTGGTCATTTTGGAGATGGGGTCTTGCAAACTGTTTTCTCCAGGGTGGCCTTGAGCTGAGATCCTCCCGATCTCAGCCTCCCAAGTAGCTTGGATTACAAGCTGGCTTGAATTTCTTAACTTTAAAAGTGCTCTGCAGGTGGCAGAGTGAACTGCACACGAGAGAGCGAGAGAGCGGCGATGTGTCAGGGAGAGGAGAGGCAGTTGGAGGGTCTTGTAGCACAGTTTCAAAATGAGTGAGTTGGACCAGCTACCATGTGTACCCTAGTTGTGTTACTACACTGTGTGTGACCTTGAGCATATGTCTTTAACTCTCTGAGGTAAAGTCCCAGAGAAGGGGGACTTTGACCCAGCCAGCTGCACCTCTGAAGCTGTAAATTGCCAGGTGCACATGGTGTCCACTGAGTTCGCTCACAGTGTGGCATTTTAGGCGAGGCTGGAAGAAGACGATCTCACCAAGGTCCTCCCTTTCCAGTGGCCGAGTGAGTGGTGGGACTGCCCCTTGACCCGCGGGTCCCCTTATGTCCATTCCACACTGTCTCACAGGCTCAGCAACTCACCCGTGTCTCTTATCCCCAGAGATCTCCCTGGATGTGGACGCAGACCGGGACGGCGTGGTGGAGAAGAACAACCCAAAAAAGGTAGCTGCTTCCCAGGGCAGAGCCCTGCATGTGGCCTTGGGCCCCCCACAGAGGGGCACACACCTCCCGTTTATCAGGAAGGGGCTGAGATCCAAGGCAGGCTCCCAGACACAGCACAGCGATGAGCAGCCCAGGCTCCCTATAGGGTCAGCTACAGAGCAGGCACCGAGCCTGCTTCCCCAACCCAGTTAACAGAGCTGATGAGAAGAAGAAATGTGCCTGCAACAGAGGCATCGCTGCAAAGCCATCCGTCCTGATTATTGTACCTTTTATTTTAAAGTTGAGGGGGCAGGGTGTGGTGTATGCCTCTGTAATCTCAGCATGGAGGTGGAGGCAGAAGGATTATGAGTTCAAGGCCACTCTGGGTTTAGCAAGTTCCAAGTCAGCCTGAGTTACAAAACAAGACTCTGACTCGAAAAAAAAAAAATTGAGGAACAGGGGAGCCGTTCAGGAGCAGAGGGCTGAATTGATTGCGCTATCCCCACTGGCTCCTGCGAGGCCCCGCGCCTTTCTGTTCTTCGTTTATTCATTCACCATTTGCTCATTCATTCGTTTACTCGTTCCCTTTCACCTTGGGCTCCCTGCTCTTCCGCTCCCCTACAGAAGACCCTTTAATGGATTGGGAGTGTCTCTTTCTGTTCTTATGATTTTGGGAAACACAGCATGGTTGGTGTCGTGCAGTTTTAAGTTATGCAGATGGCAGGTTTTCCTGACCTCATTCTGTTTTGTACTTTCCCTCAACCAGTTTTTAAGCTCCATAGGTTCTGCTATGTGTGCATCCAGACCGTTATTTCTGAAGACTACGTTAATTATGAGCAGTGCTAGGATGGAACCCAGGGCCTCACATGCATGCTAAGCACACACCCCACCACTGACTGCACCCCCAGCTAGATGAGCACTTTAAAAAGTAAAATGGAGGACTGAGCACGGTGGCTCATATCTATAATGCCAGCTGCTCAAGAGGCAGAGATCAGGAAGATGGCAGTCTGAGGCCATCCTGGCAAAATATTCACAAGACCCCATCTCAACCAATGGCTGGGCACAGTGGTGAGTGTGTCATCCCAGATATGACCAGGGACGCAGGAAAGATCATGGCCCAGACATAAAGCAAAACCCTATCTGAAAAACAACCAACAGAAAAAGGGCTGGTGGAGTGGCCCAAATGATAGAGCGCCTGTCTAGTAAGCATGAAGCCCTGAGTTCAAACCCCAGTACTACAAAAAAAAAAGTTAAACAGAGCTTAGTAAGAAGCCTGAGGCCAAGCGGCCTTCCAGACTCTACAGGTCTGGGGCTGGGGGGAGAGGAAGGCCTTGGCCTATTGGGCAGCACCTTCACCATGCCTTTTAGCTAAACTCTGCCTCAGCCCCAGGTCAGCCCTGCACACCACTCTCTGTGTCAAGTCACATGAGGCTCCTGAGGCCAAACCTAGGGAGAAGGCTTCCTGCCCTGGCAAAGTCACCAGGGGTTTTGTGGGCCTGAACTCGGCCAGAATTTCTACCTCTACCCCCACCAAGCACAGCCACCCCCACCCCAGAAATGGGCCAGTAAAGTTTTTGTATTTCCTTTGTTCATCCCATAAGCACCCATTGAACATCTTTTATATCCCAGGAATGTACAAAGAACAAGAGGAGCCCATCCCCCGCCCATGGGGAGCCCACAGTGCAGGGAGGGGACCAACGCTGGAGGAAGAATGACGTGGGCGGCTGTTGTCATAAAGTCTTAAGTGCCCCAAAGACTGTGTGTGGACCGTGCCATGTGTAGAGCAGGGAAGCTGTTGAGGTCTGAAAGTTGTCCTGGAAGAAGGGCTGAGTCTGAAAGGAGCAGTGGAGTTGGCCAGGGGAAGATGGACAGGTTGTCCAGGTGGAGGTCCTCACAAAAGTGTCAGGGCTTGGCCTCTGGGGAGCAGAATGGCATTGGTGTGGTTGGAGTAGAGTGAGTGAGGACAAGGACATGATGAGATGGAGCGGCAGGAGGCCTCACCAGCCCTTGCAGTCCTCAGGGTCAACTTAAATCAGGGAAGCAATGTGACCTGTGGTGGGGTCGGACCTTGTTCTAGCAGCATTCTGCTGCTGTGTGGAAGATGGAGCACCAATGTGGCTCCATTGGGAGGGCTTCATGTCTGGCAACAGTCTCCCAGGGGACCTCAGACCTGGCCTAGCATGTCTGTCTGCTCCTCCTTTGGCCACCCTCGCCCTCCCTGCCTCCACCCCCACCAGAGCTGAGGCCCACATGCCCTGTCCAGTCTTCCAGTTCCACTGTCTCTCAAAGTTGCTGTGGACACCCACACAGGTCCTCTCTGGATGTCAGAATTGGGACTCACATCTGTCAGGTCATAGCTGAGCCTGACGATGGTGGGAGCTGTTTCTCAGTGTCCCTTGAGGTCTGTACTGCAGTAGAGCCCAGAAGGGTGCTGACCAATCTTCCTGCCACTGCAGGCGTCTTGGACCTGGGGCCCAGAGGGCCAGGGGGCCATCCTACTGGTGAATTGTGACCGAGACACACCCTGGTTGCCCAAGGAGGACTGCAGCGATGAGAAGGTGTACAGCAAGCAAGGTGCCAGCGGGGTCACGCTGGGGGAGCAGTGGAATCATTTGTCCCTATCCTGGGCAGGGCGGAGGGTAAGGTAGGTGTGGACTTGGGCCTGCTGAGGATGCTGGACTCAAATGTCCACTCGTGCTCAAAGCCAACAGCAAAATAGCAAATACAGTTCAATCGGAACCACGTTTTTTCAAAAGTGACTGCTGGGGAAGAAAAAGGACTGGAAGGAAATTCCCCAGGGGTTAATAGGAGGTCCTCTCTGGGTTTAGAGGTGACAACCAGTTCTTCTCTTCTCCTTGGTGCATATTTTTCTCTAGTTCCCATGGCACACACCTGTCAGCTTTTCTTGATTATAAACATAAAAGGCAGTGATAGCCTCACCCCCCCCAGCCTCCCCTCCGCTGACCTCCTTGTGCATGTGTCCCCAGACCTGAAGGACATGTCCCAGATGATCCTGCGGACCAAAGGCCCTGACCGCCTGCCCGCCGGGTACGAGATGGTTCTCTACATTCCCGTGTCAGACTCGGACAAAGTGGGCGTGTTCTACGTGGAGAGTGAGTGACCCAGCTTTGTCCTCAGGCCACCACCCTCCTCCCCGAGCACTCACCCCTGCAGGTACTGCCGAACCCAAGGCCTGGTTCAGTCATTGCAGCCCAGAAACACTATTGTCCTGTGGAGTCAGAGACTCTACAAAGGGAAAGTCTGTGTCCTTCCCAATGGCCAGGAGAGGATGGGATTTTGAGGTCAGGGTCATGCTGCCTTTATGATACCTGAGATGAGATGGAAACCTCCTCCAAGAGGTGTCTGGCATCTCCAGCTTTCCAAGACCCCTAGAGATTGCTGTGGGGCTCTCCGGGAGTTAATCCTTTGTCTTTCCTGGTGGCAATAGAGGGTCCAGAACCTCCCACTCAGTGCCAGTGTCCTCATTAAACATGACCCAGTTGCATCCTGCCCTCCAGGAGCTGCCTGCAGAGCAAAGGAAGCATAATAAATAGCACAGCAGCTGGGCACCAGTGGCTCACACCTGTAATCCTCGCTATTCAGGAGGCAGAGCTCAGGAGTGTCGTGGTTTGAAGCCAACCCAGGCAAATAGTTTGAGAGACCCTATCTCAAAAATACCCAACGCAAAAGAGGGCCGGTGGAATGGCTCAAGTGGTAGAGCGCCTGCCTAGCAAGCGTGAGGCCCTGAGTTCAAACCCCAGTACCATTAAATAGATAGAAGATTGTACCATTAAATAGATGAAGATAGATGACACAAAAGAGCAAATGAAATAGACTGTCTCCCACAGAATGCCAGATCAGAGGCCCCGCTGGTTCAGTTAGTCCTGTGAGGCCTCTCTGGAGAGGTTATAGTTGAACTGAAACTGAAATGATGGAGAAAGAGGGAGCCATTCATGATCTGAGGGAAGTGCGTTGTAAGCTGGGAGCGGTGCTGTGCAGCTTTAGAGGAGCAGAAAGACAGGGTTGGGATTCAAGTTTAGAGAGCTGACCAGAGCATTGAATTTTATTCTAAGTGCAGTGGAACGCCATTAGAGGGCTTTCAGCAAGGTACTGTCAAGGGCTGATTTATCTGTTTAAAGCACCTCAGCACTGTAGTGTGGTGGGGGCAGGGAAGGGGCTGTGTTGGGGGGACCAGGACCTCAGGCCTCATTCTGGAACCCCTCCTGGCCCACTAGTACCGGGACAGTTACCTCAGGGAGTGATTTAGCCAGGACACCAGTGGATAGCAGCCACCTGAGGCCTGCTCTCCTCAGATCCACCCTGGTCTTTGGGCAGTGACCTCTCCCAGGTTGGAATGTCCCTGATAGTCAGGCCGGCTCCACAGCCCCAGGGGGCCAGGCATGTAGATGTTTACCCTGAAACCCAGGCCAGAGTTGCCACGGGGCATGAGGGGTACAGGAGGAGTCAGCCTGGGCTTTGACTCAGCCTTGGCATTGACTAAGACCCATTGCTCATAGTGACTGATGCTGGGCAATCTCTAGAGGTTTCTTCCCTTTGCTAATAGAATGGACTCAGGTTTGTTCTGTATTCGTATTTCCTCACCACTTGCCATCCGAGATGGGTCCTGAGAAGGCAAGCAAACAGAGAAGCTTAGAGAGAGTTCCCCAGAGGCTGTCTCAGCTGGGCCACCGTCCTGCAGAGACAGCGAGTCAGCTTCCCACTCAGTTGGGACTCCAAATATTCAGACAGGCAAAAAAGAAGACAGACCACTATTCATCTGTGGCCCTGTTTCCTTTTCTACCATGTGAGCACTGGGCGGTGGGGGGGTCAAAATCCAAATACACCTGTAGATAAAGATGTGTTGTGTTCCACGAATGTCATATGGTCACCTGTGTTCTAGAAAAGATGGTCCAGCTATGCCACAGTCAGGTGCTGAGCTCAAGGGGTCCCGAGAGAGAGCGCTGGAGCCAGAAAGATCCCGTCACCAGCCCCAGCCTGGGACCCTCCTCTGCACTGTGGTGTGGGGAGGGCAGGAGCTCCCACCTCCCCAGATGACAGGAAGGAAGGAATGAGGGACATGTGACAGGTTCTCCGCATAGCTGGCCAAGGAAAACTCTCTAAACAGCCATTATTGCTTTAGTCGGAAATGTTATGGTTATTAATGAAAGTGACCAGGGTGGGCAGAGATTTCCAGTGGAAGGCCTGGTGACCTGCTCCAGAGTCAGGATCTGCCCAGAACCCAAGAGTTAGTGCCTTCCCTCTTCCTACAAGGACATAGTGACCAAGTTCTCCCCATTTACCCAGGACTCCCCTGGTTTTAGCACTGAAAGTCCCTTGTGCTGAGACACCCCTTGGTCCCAGACAAACGAAGGCAGTTGGTCACACTCTTGAAGTCTTCTTGGGAGGGGAATCATTACAGAATGTCTGGAAGGGTTAGGACAAACTATAGCACACACTGGCCAGCTGGAGTCAATGCCTGGGGCTCTGGAGAGGCTGAAGTAGCCAGTGGGTCCAGCCCAAGGCATGAGAGCCACTCAGTAGAGAGGTATTGTTGGTACCTACAGGGAGCCAGAAAGTAGCTGGCACACAGCAGTGCTGAGACGATGACAATGACCAGGTCACAGCCATCCTGGAGGCATTTCTGCCTGTGCTTTTCTTTCTGTGACAAAAGGACAAGTCTCTCTGCCTTCCATCTCTGTCAGTGATTTCACCATCCTCCTTCCCATGGGGCTGGAGGTCTAACGTTGGTCCTTCCCACTCCAGACCCGTTCTTCAGCCAGTGCTATATCCACATCCCTGGCCAGCAGGGAAGTGGGGGTGGGCAGTGACTCCTTGGGACAATGGCTAGATTGTTCCTACCAAGGAATGAGTCTGCCTGGCACTGCCCAAACTGCCAGAAACAGGCCCAAGATAAAGACACACTGTGAATCACAAGACACAGGCCACACGAGGAGGAGAAAGCTGTAACAGATAGACTAGAATATGTCCTCCTACCTGACCCCCCCTGGCCAGACCCTCCCCCAGTGCTAGACCCTGAGGGACCCCCAGCTGCCCTGAGCCTGGGGAAGGCTATTCTGCAGGGACAAGAGGCTTCAAGGCCTGACACTGCTTCCTGAGCATCAGTCAGCTCCAGTGCAGCCTGGGGCATGTGGGCATGGGGGGTGGGCTGTGATGTGGTCCTTGGGACAGTCAAGGCCTGGCAGGTGAGGAACACATCACCAACTCATTTTCAGCCTCTCCTAACTGTAGTATCCACAGGTTACCTATGGTTACCCATAGTTGCCAAGGTTACTAAAATTACTGATGCTGTGTCATTCACAATGACCCTGTGGCATAGACACTGTTAGCCTCTGTTTAACAGTTGGGTAAACTAAGGCTCATGAGGTTAAGCGAATTCCCAGAGCTTCCATAGCTTTGAAAGACACCACTACTATGGTGGCCAGCCCTCAGCCAGATGAGTGATTGCCTTGAGGAAGAGCCATCCCAAGCCCAGGCTTTGTGGTGTGTCATTCATTTCACAGGTTATACCCAGCACCTTGTGTGCTGCAGAGTTCTGGTTCCACATTCTAACTCTTGGGTGGCTGGTCATTAACCAGTATCATTGTTGTTAAAAGTACCAAGCTGAACCTGGCTCTGCCATTCCAGCTCTGCAGGGCATAAAGAAAGTCCTTCTGGAACTGCATAGGGCCCTGCCTCCATGCCTTTGTCCATGCAAGTATCTCCTCCCACACACACCACCTCCACCCCGCCACCTGCAAAGGCCACCTCCCCCTGCTCTGATGCCTCCCACCCTGCCTCCCCTTCCAGCCCACCCCGCATAACGAGAGCAGCTCACTCACCACGCTGCCCTTATGATGCTTCCCACTTCTGTCTTATCATCGGCTGAGCACTGCTCTTACAGATGCTCTGTCCTGACCATCTGGCTCCCCAAAGGTCTGGCCCCTGCTGGTTACAGGGTAGTAATTTGATCCATGTGCTCCAAACCAGCCCAGAAATTCCCCATTGCCCTCTTCTCTGAGAGTGGTGTGGGAGTCGTTCATTTATCCAGAAGGCATTTATTAAACATGACCATACGCCAGGTGGGGAGCTGGGCCTGGTGGGGCCTGGCTCTGTCCTCACACTGATCATGTGCACTTACGGAGGCTGTAATGGGGAAGGGAAAAAGCTGTGGAGGCTCCAGGCAGAGTCCAGTGCTTCCTCTCTGAGGATCAAGGCAGGATTCCCACAAATGACACGAAGCAAGACCTTCAGGGAGGAGGAACATGACTGTCCTGAGCAGAGGGAATGGAACTGTGGCAAGCTGGAGATTCCAGTGAGGCAGGCACTGGAGAACCCTGCCACTCCTCCCCACCATGGAAATGGACAGCCAGATACCCACTCATTGGTCTTCAACCAACACAGCTTCTGTAATAGAAGAAAATTTCTGGTACAAATGACACATTCGTGTGTTATTTATACAAAGGGGATGGGAGCTTGGGATGCAGAATTAGACATGAATTTGAGTTCCAGCTCAGCCACTTACTGGCTATTTGACCTTGGACAAGCCATTTCTCCTTTGTGAGACTCAGTTTCCTCCTCTGTGAAATGGGCACAGTAACGTTCTATCCACCACTAGCTGTGCGGTTATCATCTGCTCTCATCACAAGAACATTCTAGCTATTCACAAGAACAGCTAGCTCATTTTATAGATGAGGAAACTGGAAGCCAGCTGGTGCACAGCAGTGCTGAGACGATGACAAATGACCAGGTCACAGCCATCCTGGTGGCACTTCTGCTTGTGCTTTTCTCTCTGCATCTAGAGGACACGGCTCTCTGCCCCCTCGTCTGTATCAGGGATTTCACGGACCTCCTCCTGATGGGGCTGGAGGCCTGATGTTGGTCCTTCCCCCTCCAGACCCATTCTTCGGCCAGCGCTATATTCACATCTTGGGCCGGCAGAAGCTCTACCATGTGGTCAAGTACACAGGCGGCTCCGCGGAGCTGCTGTTCTTCGTGGAAGGTCTCTGTTTCCCTGACGAGGGCTTCTCGGGCCTGGTCTCCATCCATGTCAGCCTGCTGGAGTACATGGCGGAGGTGAGGGCTCCAGGTCTCCCTGATGAGGGGCTGCCTGGGGTCAGGCTGGGGCACCTAGCAGAGGCCCACTCCCAGGAGCCCACACTGTGCTCTGCTCCCTGAAAGCACCGAGGGTGTCCAGGCTTGGAAACTTGGGAAGGGGCAAGTGGGGACCCCAGTAACCGGACCACCTGGGTTTAAAGCCTGGCTTCACCACTTGCTAACCTTGTGACTTAACAGTTCTGTGACTCTGTTTCCCCATCTGAAAAGCAAGGATTATAGTAGCACCCATTCCCTGGGTATGTGTAAAAATACTTGGCATGAGCCCTGGCATACAGTAAGTGCTCAATCAATGAGCTATTGTCATCAGTTTCCCCCACTTTGGAGGGCAGGAATGGAAAGGCCCTGATGTGATTTCTGTGACACTCTCTCTCTCCCCTACGCCCAGGAGATTCCCCTGACCCCCATCTTCACAGACACCGTGAAGTTCCGGATTGCACCATGGATCATGACCCCCAACATCCTGCCTCCTGTGTCGGTGTTTGTGTGCTGGTAAGAGGTGGTCACAGCCCAGACAGGCAACATGGCTGAACGACCAGTGGCTGGGCTTCGGGGGCAGACCAACCTGAATTCAGTTCCTGGTTCTGTCACTTAGCACCCACATGACCTGGAGGTTTGACCTCTCCAGACCTCTGTTTCTGCGAAATGCCCACACCACAGGGTGACTGTGAGGAGTAAATGAGAAGGAGTAGGGAAAGCATTTGTCCAAGCGTTTATCCTGGCATAGGGTGTGTGCTCCAAAAGTAACACCACTCCTCTCTCTTGCATTGCTGGGCCCAACCGTGCACTGGGCAGTGGGCAGTCAGCTCATCTTGCTCATTTATTAAGCAGGTGTTTATTGAGTACCTACTATGTGCTAAACTGACAACAGTGAAATGAGAAGCAAGGGAACAAAGTGGCCACACACGGCTGGCTGGACTGGAGGTCCTCCGCCCATCCCTGACCTTCATGCCAGGCAGAGCTCTTTTTAAAATCTGGGGCAGCAGGACCAGAGGCCTGGCTCAAATGGTAGCGCGCCTGCCTAGCAAGTGTGAGGCTCTGAGTTCAAACCCCAGTACTGCTAAAAAAAAAAGGATAGTATGCTAAAAATTCTGAGTGATAACTTTTAAAAAAATGATAATAAAATAGCCAGGTGCCAGTGGCTCACGCCTGTAATCCTAGCTACTCAGGAGGCAGAGATCAGGAGGATCACGGTTCAAAGCCAGCCCAGGTAAATGGTTTTCGAGACCCGATCTTGAAAATACCCAACACAAAAAAGGGCTGGTGGAGTGGCTCAAGGTGTAGGCCCTGAGTTCAAGCCCCAGTACCACAAAAATAAAATAAAATAAAATCTGGGGAGGCAGAGAGGCAGGGGAGGGGGAGGGTTCCCTTCCTCACTTGATTTGCTCCTGACTTTGACAACAGCTGCATACGTGGGTGAGTGTATGTGGCCCTTGACTCCAGTGAACTCTACAAAGGTGACTGTGAGCACAGACGTGGCCTTACTGGCCCAGCTTAGCCAGAAATGCCAGTTGTTATCACCTGTCCCTACTCACCCTTCCTCCTGGCCTCCTCTTTCCCCACCTCCTCAGCATGAAGGACAATTACCTGTTCCTGAAGGAGGTGAAGAACCTGGTGGAGAAAACCAACTGTGAGCTGAAGATCTGCTTCCAGTACTTAAACCGTGGTGACCGGTGGATCCAGGTACAAAGCTCAGCCATGGCTAGGGAGGGCATGACATGGGGGTCAGCAAGAGGAGGTTAGTGTAAATGCCCAGGCATCAGCTCACACCTGCACATGTGCACAGAGACATGAATGAATGGACAGGGCCTGCAGTGTAGCTTCTTGTAGCAGCAAAAGGCTGCAAAACACCCAAGGTGTCCATTCATGGGGGCCTGGTGACAGCCTTGCTGTGGAGTGCTGTGCAACAGCTACAAAGAATAAGACTGGCCAGATTTGGTGGCTCACACTTGTAATCCCAGCAGAAGCAAAGATCTAGAGGATCCTGGCTTAAGGCCAGCCCAGATCAAAAGTTTACAAGACCCCATCTCAATCAATGGAAAGCTGGTGTGCCCTGGGCGCCAGTGGCTCATACCTGTAATCCTAGCTCCTCAGGAGGTAGAGATCAGGAGGATCACAGTTCAAAGTCAGCCCTGGGTAAATAGTTTGCAAGACCCTATCTCCAAAATACCCAACACAAAACAGGGCTGGCAGAGTGGCTGAAGTGGTAGAGCACCGGCCTAGCAAGCATGAGGCCCTGAGTTCACAAAAACTGGGTGTGCAGTGGTAGCCCACATCTGTCATTCTAGCTAAGTGGGGAGCATAAATCTGAGGAGGATTGTGGTCCTAGCTGGCCTTGGAAAAATCAAGAGACCCTATTTGAAAAATAACTACAGTAAAAAGTGTTGGATATATGGTCAGTCTATGACTACAGATGTAGAATACGCTTCACGCGAAATTGTTACTTGCAGGAAAATATATTTAGGATGTTTTGGGGTTGATAGCAGAAAGAAATACTTGTAACATACAGACCATCTCTGGGATGGTTTCTGCCATTGTTTGCTGTGGGAGGAAAACTGGGGACTGGGAGGAGGTACAAAGGAAATGTGCTTTCTGCTCTATGCACTTGTGCTTTGTTTTGTTTTGTTTTTTTAGACAAGGTCTCACTAAGTAGCCCAGGCTGGTCTCAAACTTGAAATTCTCCTGCCTCAGCCTCCTGAGTGCTGGGATTATAGACGTGTACCACCATGCCCGGCTCATTTGTGCTTTTTTGAGTTGTTGGCCCAAGTGCACAAATTACGTGCTTGTCCTAAGCCCTCTCCACCCTTGATTACTACCAGGCATCCCCTAGGCCCAGCTGACAGTTTTCCTCGGTGTCCCCACAGGATGAAATTGAGTTTGGCTACATCGAGGCCCCCCACAAGGGCTTCCCGGTGGTGCTGGACTCTCCTCGAGATGGAAATCTGAAGGACTTCCCCATTAAGCAACTCCTGGTGAGATGCCGAGGGCCATTTGCATGGGACACCAGGGACTCTTACAGGATAGAGCAGTCAGGAGAATCTTGGGCACCCTTGACCTAGTCTGCTGCCCAGAGCCTCTGTTTGCTCATCTGCAAAAAGGGCCAGCTGGAATGTGGCCTCTGAGGTCCTTTCCTGCTCTGATGACTAATGTTTTCCCCAAACAGAGAGAGGTGACTCAAGGGAAACAGGAACCAAGGGGGACAAAGCAGGACCCAATCCAGGACCCCAACCCTTGCTGTAGCCTGCCCCTCCAACTTGCAGAGAAATGTTTCAAAGAGGGAAAATGTAGTTTGCAACTCATGGTTCTAACCTCAGAGCTCATGGTGACTTTGAGGCTGTGGTTCTCGGCACGTGGGGGGGGTCTATTTAAAGCAATCCGACTCTTTTCATTGCACAGCCAATTGTCACCTCCATTTGTTCCTTAGCTACCCGTGTAGGGGCAGGACTGAAACCAGCCTCTTTTGAACTCACCCTTCCTCCTGAACAGGTGGCTAGAGGCCTGGGCAGAGCATGATACAGGGAAGGTGTAGGTCAGGGGCTTTCCCAAGGTCACATGCAGGGGAGCCTCCCCATTAGATGTCAAGGCTGCTCAGAGGTGACACTGGGCCTGGTACATACCTACTGCTTGAGAATATTCGCTCACCTAGTCCCCTCATCCCAGAGAGATGGCAGAGCCTGCTCTGGAACATCAGAGGGACCTGGCCTAGAGCAGTGGTCTCACAGCAGAGTTGGGATCTTGGGCAAGCAACTTAACCTCCATGAACCTCAGTCTGCTCATCTGTAAAATGGGAAGAGAAATGGGATGGGACTCACAGGATCCCCAGGAAGGTTAAAGGAGTATTCAGGGCCTCAGTGCTGTGCATGATCCAATGACCATTAATTGTCGGGGTTTCATTGCACAGCCCTGGCCACCACCATCAGTGAGCTTACAGTCCACTCCCCCGGCACTGTGGGGAGTCAAGTCAAACTGGACCAGCACCAGGGCTACTACTAGCATGAGACCCAAGCTTCCAGACCTGCTCTCTCTCTCTCCTCTCTCTTCCCTGGGCCACCACCTGCCTTCAGTGTTCCAGGCTGGACTGGTTCCAAGGCCTGGGCTGCATTGTTCCTGGTGGCTGGGCCAGGCCTGGCTTTGTGCTGTGTGCCGCATGTATAATGCTGTAAAGCCCCAGCTGCCGGCCTCCGGCCACCTCCTGCCAACTCACGCATCACCAGCTGGGGCCTCAGGCGAAAAAGCGTTAAGCTGCCACCATCCACCCACATGAGGCACAGCTGTCCCCTGTGCCTCCTGGTTGGGCCAGGTCACATCTCCCACTCCACAGATTTTTGTTAGGCAAGCTTAGTTCCAGCCCCCAGGCAAGCTCTCAAACAAGATCCCTAATGGTTTTTTGTTTTGTTTTGTTTTGTTGCGGTAGTGAGGTTTGAACTCAAGGCCTCACCCTTGCTAGGTAGGCACTTCACCACGTGAGCCACTCTGCCAGCCTGCTTCCTAACATTCTTTTAAAAAAATCATGAAAGAAATCTTAACATTCATGGGGTCAGTATGTCTTATCTTTTGGTGTGCCAGCTCAGAAGGATTCTGAAGCTGCTTCTGGGCTCAGGGGGCACTCACCATTGTCAGGACGGGTTGGGGTGGCATGCAGATCATGTCTGTGCTGTTCCTGCATGTATTAGTCAGCTAACACTAGGCAAGGCTGCAGTGACAAACAAGTCCCCAGTCTCAGTAGCTGATAACAGCCAGGGTCTCCTGCTTGCTCACCTCCCACGTTGAGCTGGTTGCTTGTCTGAGACTGATTTCTCATTCTAGAGCCTCCGTTAAGCAGCAGTTCATGCTGAGAATACCATCCTCCTAGCTTAAGACAAAGAGAAGAAAAGTGGGCAGACATGTGTGGTGGCTCGTACAGCTTCTGCTCCTAACTGGCCAGCATCTCTGCTCATATTTAATTGGCCCAAAGCAAGTCATGTGACCCAGTGATGGTTGGGAAAGTAACATTCCTTTTGCAGGGAGATACCAGAAGTCACATGTGTGGGTCAGGATGCAAAGTTCTCTGCTGGGAAGGGGTAGCAAATCCCCCAAAATAAACATCCAATCTACCACTGCCTCAGGTCACCTGATCAGCGCTTTTACAGATGAGGAACCTGAGGGCCAGAGAGATTCAGAGATGAGCAGAGACATATACAGCACACATGAGGACTAATCTTGAAATCACCACTGTGCATCTGTGTTTGGGAAAACAGGCCCACGCAGAGACCTGGATGTGCACACGCTCGTACACACACTCACAGTCGTTCCCTCACTCTCATCAGCTCATCCATAGCCTCCCCATGCCCAGGCCCCTGCTCTTTGGTGGAAATAGGTGACCTCAGGTGATGCTTCTGGAGGCCAAGCCCCCCCCACCACCACCCCACCAACAGCAAGGCCAAGGAGTGCTGTCGGGGCAGCTGCTTGGAGCTGAGGGTTCCTGGCTACCAGAGGCTAATGGCAAGTGTGTGCCCTCTGTCCAGGGCCCAGATTTTGGCTACGTGACCCGGGAGCCCCTCTTTGAGACTGTCACCAGCCTGGATTCCTTCGGGAACCTGGAGGTCAGTCCCCCGGTGACCGTGAATGGCAAGTGGTACCCCCTCGGCCGGATCCTTATCGGGAGCAGCTTTCCTCTGTAAGAAGCCAGAGTGGGGCAGGGGGGCAGTGGGAGGGGGAGGGGGATATTTCTCTTTAGAGGTGGTCTGGGTTGCTCCTGCCTGGAGTGAGTGGCTGGGAGAACCCCTACACACCCCCGTCACGACTCTGTGAATATAAAGAAAACCAAGTCAGCCTTTACATCTTAGTATAAATTAGGATCTGCTATATAATCAAATAAATCTCTCCCTTTCCCAACTGGGAGACCATAAAACAGATGAGGAAAGGATGGAAGAATCCAGGGAAGGGACCCTGAGAGAGGGACCAGGAGCATCCCCGTGAGTCCTCAGGGCTGCCCTACATGAAAGAGGTATGAAAAGACCAGGTGCAGCCGGGAAACGTGAGTCCCTGGCTCTTTGACTTGTCCACAACAACCCCACTCCCTGCCCACTTAACCACCAGCCAATGAAAAGGCAGATTCTTCCTTGGTCAGAGCAGTCGCTGGGGAGAGAGTACTCATTTCATAAAAAGGATGCCAGGAACCTGCATGTATGGATCAACCAGGATTTGAGCATAAGTCCCTCTGAGCTATATGAGATGTTCTGCCTTCTGGGGGATACAGGCAGTGGCCATTTCCCCACATTCCTCCTCTTCTCCCTCCACTCAGTGGTCACTCATCCATTGAGCAACTGTTCCTTGTGCAGATGTCAAGCCTGCTCTGCCCTCAGGGAGGTTCACAGACATGGAAATGGATGATGGGAGGTTATATCTATGGATGATGGGGAGACTGAAAGCCCCAGGGAATGTAGAAGTCAGGAAGGGCTTCCTGGAGAAGGCATCACTTGAACCACTAAAGATTAAAGCGAGCAGTAGTTAGTATACAAAAGGGCAGTGTGCTGGGGCAGAATCTGAAGCCATCAGTCTCCTGTCACCTCCAGTGGTCCAGACAGGACTGCTGAGCACAGAAGCTGCCTCCGCATACTCACCTGCACCCTCGGGGGGCTGATGGCCAGCCTCCAGGCCTCACGCAGGTGTGGCTGTGACCAGTGCATTCTCTTTCCCGTTGGCCTCAAACGCCTTCCACGGTCTCAGCACTGCAACTCAGACTCCTCCTGTGACTCTGTTAATGACACCCAGTGCCAGCCTGTGTTCCAGAGGCTAAACACCTCCTGCAGGCCCTCAGGTGCGGCAGACATGAGGAGGTGGGGAGCAGCCTCCTAAAAGACTGCCTCCTCTCCAACCATGCCCAGGTCTGGTGGTCGGAGGATGACCAAGGTGGTACGCGACTTCCTGCAGGCCCAGCAAGTACAGGCGCCTGTGGAACTCTACTCGGATTGGCTGACTGTGGGCCATGTGGACGAGTTCATGACTTTCATCCCCATCCCAGGCACAAAGGTGAGCTAGTCCCCAAGACTAGAGTGAATAGGAGAGTGCAGAACCCATGTTCTCCTTGCCAGGAGAGAGTGGGATCTAGGATCTAAAGGAAACAGACAGCAGAGGAAGAAGGAAGTGGGCTGAAGCTGTTTTGTATGTTGTAGCTGTGGCAAGTAAATGTTTAACCCAATAAATCCAAAATATCAGCATTTCCATGTGTAATCAACATAAAAATAGTGAGCAGCTTTCATTCTTTTTTCATACTGTCTTCATACCATGGTGAGTATTTCACTCTTATGGCTTATCTCCATTTACACCAGCTACAGTTCAAGTGTTCAGCAGTCAGATGACAGTGGCTACTGAATTGGCCATAACACCCTTTTTTTTGAGCTGGAGGGGTAGACTGGGACTGGGTTTGAATTCAGGGCTTTGCACTTGCAGGCATTCTACCACATGAGCCACACCTCTAGTCCATTTTGCTCTGGTTATTTTGGAGATGGGGGTGTCGCAAAATATTTTCCTGGGCTGGCCTTGAACCTCAATCCTCTTGATCTCAGACTCCCAAGTAGCTACAATTCAGTTTTTCATTTTCTGAAGTGAAAGAAATGGCTGCCACTTTGTACCCTGGAAATTCTGTAGAAATGGCCTGGCCTGTTGGCAACTTGGAGAAGTCCCTTCCCTCTGTCCTTTTGACTCTGAGCTTCGCCCCAATGGCATTGCCAAGAGGGATGAAGGATGAGAAGTAGCCTTGTGAGGAGGACGGATCCCTGCAGAGAACCATGGCCCCTCTGTGTGGAAGGCTTAAGGGATGCAGAGCCATGGCCCCTCCTGCTCCCTAGCCTCCTCCTCCCAGGCAGAACTGTACCCCGGACTGTCTCTCGCAGGAATTCCGGCTGCTCATGGCTAGCACCTCGGCCTGCTACAAGCTCTTCCGAGAGAAGCAAAAGGAGGGCCATGGGGAGGCCATCATGTTCAAAGGTGAGTGGCTATGGGGCCTTGGCAGGAAGCAGGAGCCCAGAGAAACTCAGGAGGATGGGCATATGAGCTCCTTGTCCCCGAGTGCTCAGCCCCACCTCCCTGGCCATGTGGCCTATTCCGGGGCTTGTGAAGCCACCATGGTGGCAAGGAATCCTGGGTTCTCCTGTCCCTTGCTGGAGCCAAGTGGACCATCGAGCCATTCTTACTGTCATTGACAAAGTGCTTCTTCAGGACCTAGTGCACACTTGAAATGACACCAGACCCAGAGAAAAGTTAAAGGGCCCAAACCCATGTGTGATCTGCACCCAGGAGCTTGTATTTTAGAAAGGAAGTTGTTTTGTTTTGAGGTGCTGGGGAGGAAGCCTGAGGCCTCACGCATGCTTGGCAAGTGCTGCACCACTGAACTGCACCTCAGCCTTAGAAAGGAAGATGGAGAGAAAACAGACCTGCTGCAGCTTAGGCACAGGAGGGAGCATGGGCTTTGGCAGACAGGATGCACAGTCAGGCATCATCACTGTCATCCTGGGAGCTCCATTGAGACATCCATCTATCTGGGATGGACATAGACTGGGATGAGGTCTGTGCCTAAATTAATCATGGGAAAAAGAAAACTGATCAGATGGAGACTCCGGGTCAGGTTTGAGCAGCCATGGCAGTCTCACTACTTTTTAAATGTTTTAATCGTGGTTCAAGTATACATAACCTATCTTTCATTTTAATCATTTGTAAGTACATAAATTAGGGATGAATAACTCTCCCCACTGTCCATATCCAAGTTTTCTTAAGTTACTGTTTGCCACTTTTCAGGTGGGTATCCTCGATAGATCTCACATGCAAAAGCCTGTGTGCCCAAAGGTGGTGGTCATTTATGTCCCTGTCCTCCACACCTAATTGTCCCAGACTGTTGGCAGTGTGCAGAGCGGCCAGGACCAATTCTGTCCTGGTGTAATTCCTCACCGATGGGAGTGGCTGGCATTGACTTTCTGGAGATTTCCTTTCTATAGTAAACATACCCATAAGATACAGGGACCCTTACTGTCTTTGTGGTAATGAGGGCACGCAGTGGTGAGGAGGAAGCTCTGACAGCCCTGATCTCCGCGGTCGTCAAGCTACAAGCCTGGGAAGTGTGATGGCCCAGCAGGCTCTTCCTAGAGTAACAAAAATAAAGTAGGTGCATACACCTGTAATCCCAGCACTCAGGAGGCAGAGTCAGGAGAATTTTGAGTTTGAGACCTGTCTGGGTTACGTAGCAAGGTGCTTCACGTGAGTCCTTAGACAGGTCCTTAACCTGTCTGTGTCTCAGTTTCTTCACTTTAAATGGTATCAGCTACCACAGAGAAATGCAGGGGGGGTCTAATGAGTTCATCCACACAAAGCATTTAGAAGAAGGCCTGCCTGCGCTGGAGTGAGACTCAGGGTAGGGCACTTGCCTAACTTGCACGAGGCCCTGGATTCCATCCCCAGCCCTGCAAAAAACAAGACACACCATCATGAGAAGAAAAGTGTGCCTGCCACATATAGGTGCTCAGTGGGCATTGGGTCTGACCAATGGGGCACAAGACTACCTGTACCATCCCCACTCACTGGTTAGAGAGAAAACAAGGCAACCAAGGCTTCTTCCCTGGCTTGGGGGACACTGCCGACCCTGGAGGAAGGTGTGTGCACTGCCATCCCCAGGAGGACGGGCCTGTTTTCCTCCCTCCTAGTCCTCAGCCTGTTCTGGGCTCCCTGTCCCCATTCCAGTCCAAAGTTGGCTCAGATAGAGCACCCAAACTGGCATCTAAGGCTTTGGCTGTAACCCTCTGACCCTCCTCAGGCTTGGGGGGAATGAGCAGCAAGCGGATCACCATCAACAAGATCCTGTCCAACGAGAGCCTGGTGCAGGAAAACCAGTACTTCCAGGTGAGCCAGGGCCCAGGGCCGGGAGGGCTGAGCCTCGTGTCCTGATATCCTGGGGCTTCCACAGAAAATGACCAAGGGCTTCTAACACACAGTGTGCCAGTACTGACAGGTCCTCAACAAGCATTGGTCAGCCTCATTACTGCCTGGAAGGTAAAGGGCTAACAAAGTCTCTCCCAGCACAGACAAGAGGCAGTCAGGATCACTGGGAAGGAGGCATACAAGCAGAGCCAAAGAGTCAAGGTCACTGTTAGACCAGTGTTCATGTCATTTGGGGAAGGCACAAGCCTTTAAAACATGATGAAATTTGGAGGTGTGGCTCAAGTGGTGGAGCTGCCTGCCTTACAAGTATGAAGCCCTGAGTTCAAATCCCAGTACTGTTTTAAATAAAAAAAAAAATGAAAGCTACAAATGTGGTTTCCAGAAATATGTCCATATGAGCACAGGCCCTGACCTTGGAGGTCACAGGTCCCTGACATTTTCTGTCCATGCATGGATCCTCACCTCTGAGTTCCTAAGTCTCAATGGTTGCATCCAGATAAAGAAACCAGTCATATTTATTTGAATTAAGTATCTCTTTATTTTCATGGGCATATTTTAAGGATCCAAGTTTTTAAAAATTAAAAAACTGGTTTAAGAAAAAAAGTAATGATGTAATGTTTGACACATTGAAGTGGAAAGGGCAGTGGTAGAATGGATTTCAGGCACAGGTTGATCAGCGCTCCAGCTCCACTTCTCTACTTCTCAGTCTCTGAAGGTGCCTCATGGTAAGAATATGGCTGCAATAGTTCAGGGCCTCATATACACCCAACACAACATCCACTGAGGGTGACCCCACACACACACAGCTGAACAAGAGCTTGCATTTCAACTTGTTTAGGTTGTTTGGGCCAACCTAAACAAATTACTAAGGCCAGGGTGGGTTTTTACATTAATTTGCTTATTCCTGGGTTATTGCCCACCCCTGAACCAATCACTGGGGCAGGAAGTACAGACAGGAATCCACGAATGATCTTCCACCTGAAGGTTGGAGCAGGGCCAATACTCTCCACTGCTGGGGAGAGGGTGTCAGTGGAGCAGGTACCAGGGACCCACGAAGTTCACCAAACACCTCTCCAGCTACTTTGTGATCCTTCTGTGCTTGCATCTTGGGAGCAGGGAGATCCGAGGTCCAATCATGGATAGGACCTGCTGTCACTTGCTTTCAGTGATAGGACCCTGGGCTATTCACTAAGGATTGTCTTTGTTTCTCATCTCGCGTCTAAGAGGGATAAGAATCGTAACTGCCTCACGGGCTGAAGGTTCAATATGTAACCCGTGCAGAGGGCTCGGGACAGTGCTGCACTTGTGCTCCGGGCGCCTACTTTACCAGCACAGTCCTACCTCAGGGGCAGCCTGAAGGGTAAGGAGATGCTGTGTGAGCTGCACCGGGCATGGGTCCAGCTCAGGAGGGGCTCAGCAGGGGGCACTTCCTCTGCCTTGTTCCCATTGTTATCACTGCCCTGGGCCCTGTGAAGTGCACAAGAGAGGTCATGGGGAGCCAGCTGAGGACTGGGCATCTCTTGAGGGTGCCAGGCCCTTAGCCTGACTCTATAGATAGGTGGTAGGTTTGTTCCATACCTGTGTACCCCCTCCTGTCCCACCCAGCGCTGCCTGGACTGGAACCGTGACATTCTGAAGAAGGAGCTGGGACTGACGGAACAGGACATCATTGACCTGCCAGCCCTGTTCAAGATGGATGAGAACCGCCAGGCCCGAGCCTTCTTCCCAAACATGGTGAGACCCTCCAACCCTGACCCTTTCCCATGCCAAGTAGAGCAACCAGATCCAAAAGGACCTCTGGCCCAGGCTGAGCTGCTGTGTGACCTCGCCCCAGGCACCAGCCTTCGCTGAGGTCCTCGATTGTCTCCTAAGAGAGATATGCTTATCCTAACTGCCCCACTTGGTACTGAGAACCCTTTACAATGAGGAGAGGAAAGTGCTTTGCAAAAAGTAAGTTCTTTTTGTACAGGAGGGATTTTGCTATCATCGGCGGGGGGGGGGGGGGGCTCTCCATGACATAGAAAGAAGTCAGATCAGCAAACACAACATGCACACAGATATGACTATACACATGTACATATGTCCACACAAATGCTTACATACACGCACCCACGTGTGTGCATATTCATACAACCAGTGCCTGTATACGCTGACGCACGCACAGATAGCCATATGGACATGCATGTGCACACCTTTACAGATGTGTGCATACAGAGGCAGATTGGTTCTCTACCTCAGCCTGCCATTTGGGAGTTGCCTAGCCTGCTCTGTGCCTCAGTTTCCCCATCTGTAAAGAGGTGATTGTAATAGTACCTCCTTCACAGGGTTGTGGGGAGGCCTCAAGGAATTAGATCAGACAGGGATGCAGCAGGCACTCCCTAAATGGTTGCTCCCTGTCCCAGGTAAACATGATCGTGCTTGACAAGGACCTGGGCATCCCCAAACCCTTTGGGCCCCAAGTGGAGGAGGTGTGCTGCCTGGAGACGCATGTGCGCAGCCTGCTGGAGCCCCTGGGCGTCTCGTGCACCTTTGTTGATGACATCTCTGCCTACCACAAGTTTCTGGGGGAGGTGCACTGTGGCACCAACGTCCACAGGAAGCCCTTCACCTTCAAGTGGTGGCACATGGTGCCCTGACCTGCAAGGGCCCTGGTGCTCCCTCCTTCCCTGAGGTCTCGCACCCCCAGGCCCTTCCCCTACCTGACCCTGACTGGATGGCCCCCGCTAGGAGATCTTCAGGAAGAGGGTGGGATTTGGATTATCTATACTTTGACCTCCCTGGGAAGGGTCTCAGTGTCCACCGAAGCCACCCTCTGTGAGCCCAGCTCTGTCCCTCCTAAAAAAGCTGGGTACATGGCCAGTGTCTGCAGAGCCCTGACACAGAAACAAAAGGACACAAAAAATCATGGAGCCAAACCATTCCCCAAGGATTCTCAGTCTCAGTGCCACACTGGAATGAGGGAAGAAGGGAAGGAGGATCTGAGATTGAGGTTCTTCCTGCAGACATGGTCTAAAGTTCAAAGTAGAACAAGTGGAAAGGACCCCTGGGACCCCCGACCTTGAACTGCACCATCATTTCAAACCCTCAGGGTCTCCAAGTGGCCACCTCCAATTATTCGTTCCTTACCACCTCTCATACACCCCACACACACTCATCTACTTCTCTCTGCAGTGTAGACACCATTGGCCAGCCCTCCCCACTACCTGAGGGTCCAACCCTGTAACTTAGAACCTTCTTGGAAATAGAGCTCAGAGCAGAGACGCTCCCCCATCCTTGGGGCTCTCCCCCAGACCAGCATCGGTATGCCTGGGCTCAGAGTGTAAAGATCCTGTCGACCATCCATTTTTCTCTTGCCTGTGCTCAGTTCTCTGGCCAGTCCCTGACAAATTCCTTCACAGTGTGACTTCCTCCCTCTGTCCCTCCTCCTGCCCCTCTAGGCAGCTAGACAAGGGCTTCTTCACCACTAACCAGACTCATGCCCCAGGGCATAAGAAACAACCTGCTACTCCTACAGGAAGTCAAGGACCCTAACCAGGCCTCCAGGCCAAGCAGCGGTTCTGTGGCCTTTTTGAAGTGGATTGATTATCCTGGAGAAATTCACCAGTGCATTTACCAAAGACCCTCTGGTTTGGATATAACCAGATTAAGCCGCTGGCTTCAACTGAAAATAGACTTTCAATTTAAGAAGAAAAAGAAAAGGTCCTTTAGGGCAGGAAAATAAGTGAATTAAAATTCCACCTTGAAAGTCAGGCACTGGTGGCTCACGCCTATAATCCTAGCTACTTCGGAGGCTGAGATTAAGAGGATTGAGGTTTGAAGCCAATCCAGGCAAATAGTTTGCAAGACCCCATCTTCAAAGTAATCAGAGCAAAGCATACTAGAGGTGTGGCCCAAGTGGTGGCATAAAACCCTGAGTTCAAACACTTGTCCTACCCAAAAAAAAAATGGTAATTTCACCTTAAAGGCAGAAAGGAGACATTTTATAACCAATGAAAAGACTATAAATTTTCATTCGTGGGGGAACAGGATTTTTGTTTTGAATTATTTCCATCAGCCATTCAATAAGCATTTGTTGTGACAGACACAGTGCTAGGCTCTGAGAATACAGTGGTTAACAGCAAACAGGGCATATACTGGTCAGTCCCCCACAGGAAAAGCCTTCATTTCACCCACCAGCTTTTGTCCTTTCTACAATTCAGTCCTTAGCAATGCCAGTCCACTGTATTCTGGAAGTGCTCAGGCCATAAATCTTCCTGCAAGTAACTGGATGAAATGAGGGGAGACAGGGTCTTCTTTAAACAGTCCCCCTTTCCCATCCAGCTGGGCCAGTACCACCTGTCAAATCAGACCCCAGCACCTCAGAAACTGCTGTCTCCCTTCTGAGGACAATGGCTCCTGCCTTTGGGGGTGGGGTAGGGTGGGGACAAAGACCCAGATCTTCTCCCTAGCCCCAGAGATGAAAACAAATCCCTAGCTGTGGGCTTTTCTCTGGAATGTGTTCGTGTGTTTGGTGGGTGTGGGTTTGTAGGCTTTCTTTTATTTTTATCTATTCTGCAATAAGGGGAAGTGAGCGCCTCCCACATGGAGACAATGTGTCTTTGTAGATTTTCCTAAAGCTCTTCCTACATAAGTCAGTCATGTTAGAAGGTTCTGGAGCCTGCAGGACTTAGACAGGGGCCCGTCCCATCTCAACTCATTTGCCCACCCAGTGTGACTCCCCTTGGTCCACCCCATGGACTCGTGCTCTTCCCCACCCCCACTGGCTATAAATGTAGGCCAAGAGCACGCTTCTGTGTTGCAAAACCCAGCCAAGTTCCTGCTTTAGTCTTGATTATGAAATAGTCTACGGAGGGTGGGGTGTTGTAAAGATCGCAGGAGCTGGGCAGTTTCTACTTTCTTTCAAGAGGTGATGGCGGAGATCAAAAGGCGTTTAAGGAAGAGCCTGACTGAACAGTGAGAAAATAAATGGTCCAAAGGGAAGTCACAAGGCTGAGGTGTGATGTTCTTTGCGGCTTCCTAGACAGGGCCCCTCCTGGCCCTAACGTTCCCGCTGTTCTGGGCACAATGCCTGCAATGCCTGGGCTTTCTGGGAGGGCATCTCAAGGACCTGAAATCTGCATACACACTCAAGAGCTGTGTGTGACAACAAGGGGATGGGACTTTGAGCACATGATAAAAGCGAGAGCACACAAGGGAGGGGTGAGGATAGGTAAGACACCTAAAAAATTAGTTAGCATTTGTTGCCCTCAACACAGAGAAACTAAAGCAGATACCTTAAAAGCAACTGAGGCCAATAGGAAAAGGGGACCCAGGAACTAGAGAAAAAGGTTAATCAAAAGAATTAACCTAGAAGGTAACTCACAATGCACAGGAAATCAATGTGAGATTCAATGCCCTGTATAGCTATCCTTATCTCAACTAGCAAAACCCTTGTTCCTTCCTATTATTGCTTATACTCTCTCTACAACAAAATTAGAGATAAGGGCAAAATAGTTTCTGCTGGGTATGGAGGGGGTGGGGGGGAGAGGGAGGGGCAGGGTGGGTGGTAAGGGAGGGAATGGGGGGAGGGGGAGAAATGACCCAAGCATTGTATGCATGTATGAATAAAAAAAAAAAAAAAAAGCTGTGTGTGAGTGACATGGCCACCACCCAAGGTCAAGACCACTTCCCACAATAAGGTAACTGTTTTTATGATGGAATTCCCTCAGAAATAGATCCTGAGATAAGACTTTGGGAACAAGAGATTTATTAAGAAAGTCCTCCAGGTAAAAGCCACAAGGGGACTGGGAAGCAGGCAGCGGAGAGGAGAAAAAACCAGGAAAGTTGTGGGCAGCACACCAACAGTGTCCACTACTCCTGATAATGAGGCAGGCTAGAAGTAGGAAAAGTTTGGAGCTCATGCAGGTTGCCGGGGGATGGACCAGACCCCCCCCACCTGGCTGGGAATCACCCATGCCCCTCCCCACTCGCTCACTGTTGGGTGGGAACCTCCTGGGCCTGCCCTCCCACCTGGGTAGGTTTTAAAGGCACCTGAAAAAAAAAAAGCACACTCTGTCAGCCGGTGGACTCCACCTGTACCCACCGTACTCTCTGCTTCTTCTTCCCTTTGCTCACGTGGGAGAACAAGTTTCTCCCCTTCTCTCAATAAAGCTACCCTACCTCACCCCACCCACATGCTCTGCTTGGATTCTTCCATCTGGAGCACAAAAACCAGGATCTTCTGGTCACAGACTGCACCAAGTGCTGTAATAAATAAGTAAAAATAACAAAGTCATAGGAGCTGGAGGTGGACTCACAGAACCAGGAAAGTTGTGGGCAACACACCAGCAGCATCCAGTACTCCTGATAACTCCGTGTTCTTATAATAGGGAATTATTACACATAGGTACTTGTGATTTGATTTGACCCATACAATGCAGCCACAATCTAACAGGTCCCATAAGAGCAAATTCCTGAGGTCCTAACTTGGAGCCACCTGGTTGGCTGCTGACTTCCAAACCTTTGGAATACATCTTCCCAGTCCTCAACCCTCCCCCTACCATCTTAGACTTCTGGACTGATCTGTTGGCGTAACTATTTTAAGTGGCCACCATAAAATGGTTTCATTTTGCTTCATTCATGGGTCCAGCCCTCTGGAATCCTTTTCTCCCCTCTTTCTTTGTAATTTACTACATGTTTCTGGGTCACAGGGCGATACATGTACACAAGGTGCAGTGATCAAATCAATATAGTTAGCACGTCCATCTCCTTACGTGTTTCTCATTTGTTGGCATTGGAAGCCTTCAAATTCCTCTCTTTCAGTTCTTCATAAAATATAAAATAGGCCAGAGGCACTGCTCAAGCAGTTGAGCACCTACCTAGCAAGTACTGAAGCCCTGAACACCAGTACCGCCAAAAATATTAATTAAAATATATACAAATGTTTGTAAACTATAGCCTCTCACTGTGCTGGAGAACCCTAGAACTATCTAGCTGTGTTTTGTTATATATTATCCAACTTCTTTCTATCCCTCCTCCCCCATCTTCCCTTTTATACCCAATTAATGTGGTCCAAACCATGGCCAGCCAATCTTTAATAGGTTTCCTGGCTCACCTATTTCTGCAACTCCTCAAGAGATGCTGGTGTGTTAAACAAATTCATCCTGGTGGGAGCTCACATCTTGGTGGCTGCTCTGACCTCAGGAGGGCTGAAGGCCACTCTGAGACTTAAAAAAACAGCACCATCCAATAGAGAAAGAATGCAAGTCACAGGTGTAATTGTAAATTCCTTAATAGCCACATTAAAAATGAAAAAAGTAAAAAGCAGGTAAAATGAACTTTAGTAATGTAGTCTCTTTGAATATTCAAATTGTTATCATTTCAACATATCAAAATCTTACATTTTTAATTTGATTTTCACTTTTTTTAAGTAAGTGTGTGTTGTATCACATCTCTCTTCAACTCAGCACATTTTAAATGCTTGATAACCACAGCTGGCTACCATAGATCTAGACACAGATCTAGAATCTTCTCTGCCAGACTGAGCCCCAATTATGGACAGGGGCTCATTCCTTAAAATCTCAAAGTTCAGCTAATCTTACTGCAAAGGTTAATGAAAGCAGACATGTTAAATATATACCAGCCCTCACTGGCCCTGGGATTCTGATTCTGCCCTTCCAGAAAGTTCTCTTGCCTAAACCCTGGCCACCACCAGGTTAGCAGGGCAACTTGAACTTAGGACCTTGCACTTGCTAGGCTAGTT